ATGCTCTAACATCAAAACACCGCAATATTTATTTGTTCCTTCGCAACCTGGTTTCAGAGAAATACGACACTGCGCCGTTGTGCCTAAACGACAGGAGACATTTAAACAAGCCAGTTTATATGGTATTTTATTAAGTGCAATACAAGGCAGAAAAAATGACATCTAAATTCAAGGAAGCGAAGCAATGCGCAGGGAAATTTGCTTGGGAATATATTCACTTAATAACATGCTCAGACCCAAAAAAGCTATATTTTAGATGCTTCGTCAGTTCATATAAAAAGACTGTCTTCAGAAACATCATCGGTAGTGAGCATAAACGGCTAGGCAACAAAATGACGCGATAGACACTTATTTACCGCAGCCGTTGATGCCATGTATTTGGTGGCTTTCTTAGACGGCATTTAGGAGCAATGGAGCGGTACATTATGTTAAACACGGTTCTGGGGGTCACTGCTTACTATCATAGGTCTGCGTGCGAACTCATATTTTTTCCTGTAAAATAAATAGAACTATTTACTGGCTAACATAATTTACAACAACTACCGTGTAGCTCCGCAATTCAGGGGGCTAAAAAGGTGCCACAAATTTTAAAGTGAAGCAAAGACAAATGTGCGCAGAAAATTGTTACAATCAGAGAATACAAATCGCACAAACAAAGTCAAAACAATAAATTAATAGAACTTACGCTTTCCTCAAAAGAAACCATAGACGTACATTTCAGAAACGATTTGGAAGTTCCTAAACAAAGTTCTTTAAGAACAGTGATGATGAAACACAAGCGCAAGGAACAGATTACAGAAGCATTATTAACTTGTGAGCAGATCGATTACTCAAAAGGGCAAAACGAACTAGGCGGTGATCTATCATATAACTCAGAATACCACTACGCTCTTCGAAGGACCTTCTGAATTTCGCTTCTAACTGACTTCATGCCTCTGAGTAAATGACACATAACAATCAATTTAGTCTTTCTGTTGAAGAGAAGCCAAGCGCCGTGATAAAAACTTACAACTATTCAACTGCTAAGCATTATCTGCGTTTTAAACACTTCCTGTTCCACAGAGTCATCACATTCTGTTTAATGGATACACCGCTAAATGAAAAGATTACGCTACATTAGGAAAACAATGAAGACAGCAACATCGGTATCTTCGTCCTACATAGATTCGCCTTACAGGTATAAAACGGTGTGTCAAAACTCCAGCTGCTATCAGACTATAGATCATATAGGTCCTTTAGTTGAATTCGTGTTAAAAGAACGGATTGCGCTGGAGAGATGGATGCTTAACTTTGTTACTCATCGCCAGATAATATCTAGTATCAAGTTGTGTCACTAGAAATACCTCCGGGATCAATAAAATTCCGCACTTTCGACCCATGAAAGGCTGCTAAACTGAAAATATTATATGCAAAAATGACTTGAACAACGCGAATCTGTTCTCCACTGAAAAGGCAACTTCATTGGGTAATCGGTGCTTTGCCATTGGTGTTATGAGAAGTCATCAAAAACGCATTTTAAGTGGAGCATGAAACGATATGCTTACCTATTCATGTCAACTTGAAAACAACGTCCAAATCTGCCGATATTATTCGCTAACTAGAGGTCAATGAAGCCAATAACAGAACAGTTTCAAACTTTCTCCACATCGACTTTCCGGTGCAAAAGTATAGTATTTCATTCTATTCAGTTAAACTTACATCTTAGCATTATTAACTTAAAGAGGAAATTTACCGCTGTAAGAGGAAATTTTATCCACATTCTCTATCCCTGATCGAGTGTCGCATTCAGTCAGTTTGTTCTGCTCTACACAACATACAACATATATTGCTCTATGGTCGTCACTATGGGAATGACTTAAGCACAGCAACCAAAAATTTATCACAAATGTCACACGTAAAAAACTACTAAGTTTACAATGACAACTAGCCGAAGTACATATAATAAAACTGACCTTTGTTGGTAATTATAGCCCGCAAAAGGTTCAGTGCGAAGTACGCCAGACGGTCGTGGTAATTCTGAAGAAGATCCGCAAGCAACGAAGAGAGGATTCCACTAAAACAAAAGTTTTTATAAGAACAAAACAAAAACCGTGTATGCTTCTATGTTTACCTGCTGATGTCCTGAGAATCGTCATCACTGCCTGAAAAAATGTAAATGAGCGCCGTACAGACGAGACATAAAGTAGCATGTACATGAGATCGAGTAAGAAATAAAAACTTAATGCAATACCGCTGAATATAGCGGCATTGAAATGATATATCCTGGACAACTGTCGCATGACTTGAAGCTCATTCGCAGATCACAAAAAGTGGTCGATTTCAAGAATCAGCCACCTGCACTTATTATGGATTTCTGCGTTAACCTGCTGGTACGAAAAGGTGCACACGGCGTGAAGACGCGAGACATTATCAAAGAAAATTCATTAGCTAATTACATTTCTTAGTACTTATCACAAAATACCTTCGCAGGAGCATGTATTGCTGGAGGTGCACAGGAGATGGCAAAAACTCGGAAGAAGTCAAGTCTTACAAAGCCGTCATCTGGAACCAAATTCGTCCGAGGTTAAGGACAAACGGAACTTCTGTCCAAGAT